GGGGGCGCCTGGGTGGCTCAGTCGGTTAAGCGGCTGACTTGGCTCAGGTCATGATCTCTTGGTCTGTGAGTTCGAGCCCCGCGTCGGGCTCTGTGCTGACAGCTCAGAGCCTGGAGCCTGTTTCGGATTCTGTGTCTCCCTCTCTCTGACCCTCCCCTGTTCATGCTCTGTCTCTCCCTGTCTCAAAAATAAAAAAAAAACAAAAAAACAAAAAAAAAAACACTTGCTGGATATGAGTAGGGGCATGGCAGTTTTAACTTTCAGAGAGCAGTTTATTAATGAGTTGGGAATAAAAACTTTACTTTAGAGATTTAAGGAGGGTAGGAGGGGATAGGAATGAGAATCAGTGACTCTGGATCACTCATCCAAGGACTGGGATGAGAGAAGAAGTGAAATGGATGTTAGGTACAGAGAGACAGTAAGTAGGGGTCCAGTAAGGGTAATTATTATTCCTTTTGAAGTTAGAAAATTTTTTGATTGTCGCCCTTAATAAGTGACATTTCATAAAGGCGGTTTAATTTTGAAAGTGCTGTATGTAAAGTTCCATGTTTTGGCAAGTTGATGTCTTTCCAAATGCAGAGAGCCATAATTCAGGTGGGTGGAGATCTAGGGTCTACAAGATGCTGATTCTGTGACATCAAAATTAAGACAAGTACACAGTAGGTCCTTGAATGAAGGTCCTTTATGGGGGGGTAGACTATAATTTGGTAAAGAGAGAGGATTTTTAGGGGGAAGGAAAAACATAGTATGAGAATTGTATATATGGAGAATGTGAAACAAAGGGGAAATCTAAATATGTTTCAGTGTTGCAAAAAGTAGATGATTTTCCAGGGGACAGCTTAGATGCAGAATTATTTTATTAGTCTGTTGTTCATATACCAGATTGATAGTAGCCTTTTCCAACGAGCTTCTAGGGGTGCCTGGGTAGCTCAGTTGGTTAAGCCTCCAACTCTTGGTTTTTGCCCAGGTCACGATCTCATGGTTCTTGGTTCAAGCCCTGTGTCAGGCTCTGCACTGACAACGCAGAGCCTGGTTGAGATTCTCTGTCTCCCTCACTTTCTGTGCCTCCTTCCAACCACCCCCCCCCCCCCCATTGTGTGCATGCACTCTCTTTCTCAAAAGGAATGTAAAAAATAAAAAAAACTAGCTTTTAAAAATTATAAAAGTAGTATTTGTTCCTGTTTTTTAAATTCAAGTTTAGTATTAAAGTAAATCTTTGCTTCCTTCCCCAACCGCCCCCCCCCCTCGCCTTTTACTCAAGGGTAACCATTTTTGTGTTTCTTACATATTCTTCTGAAAATGTTTTTTTTTAATTTTTTAATGTTTATTTATTTATTTTGAGAGACAGAGACAGAGACCGAGATAGAGACAGCAAATGGAGGAGGGGAGAGAGGGAGAGAAAGAATCCCAAGCAGACTCCATGCTGTCAGCACAGAGCCCAACGCTGGGCTTGATCCCACAAACTGCAAGATCATGACCTGAGCTGATATCAAGAGTCAGATGTTTAAATGAATGAGCCACCCAGGTGCCCCTGTTGTTTTGTTTTGTTTTTTAATGTTTATTTATTTATTTTTTCAGAGAGAGAGCAATTATGAGTGGGGGAGGGGCAGGGAGAGGGGGAGAGAGAATCCGAAGCAGGCTGCAGGCTCTGAGCTGACAGCAGAGAGCCCGATCCGAGGCTTGAAGTCACGAACCATCAGATCATCACCTGAGCCCAAATCAAGAGTCTCACGCTCAACCTGACGAAGCCACCCAGGCACCTTCTTCTCAAAATGTTAAAACATATTTTTATAAACATGGTTCATTTATACTCATCCTGAATCTGCATTTTTTAATTGGTAATATATCCTTGGGATCTTTCCATATTGTCACGTTTGAGTCACCTTATTTTAAAGTTCGTAGTGTTCAACTATATGGATGTACATTACTTGTCTGCTGAACTACACAAAAACCTTATGGATCTGGCATAGTGTGTTAATTTTTTTTAAATTTTTTTTTAATGTTTATTTATTATTGAGAGAGCATGAGCATGGGAGGGGCAGAGAGAGGAGGAGACACAGAATACAAAGCAGGCTCTAGGCTCTGAGCCATCAGCACAGAGCCTGACGATGCGGGGCTCGAACTCACACCCGCAGGATCATGACCTGAGTCGAAGTCAGATGCTTAACCAACTGAGCCACCCAGGCACCCCATTTTTTTAAAAAACTTTAATAATAACAAAAAATTTTTATTATGGTACATATGTTTTCCACAGTATGATGTGTGTCGTGTGTATTTTTTTCTGTACGTGCATTTCCACGTTCCTCACCTACAGAGATGATAAAATCCTGGGGTTGGAAAGGACTTTAAAGGTCATCTCGGACATGCCGCGTTCATCCCCTTTGTACAATACCTGCTTCCCCAGGAGGAACGGTCCTTGTTGGAAGTGGGCATTTGCTCACTATTGCTAGAGGTGGCCTTACCATTTGAGATGCTTTCATTCGCAAGGAGCAGAACGCCGGACTTTGAGGAGCCTAAACAGCGAGGGCAGTGAATTACCTCACACACAGGGAATCCAGAGGTCGATGGTTGCAGGTTTGGCTGATGAAGCCGCTCGGTTTCTCTACCTCATGTAGTTTTTCCTCACAGTTTTCCCAGATCATATTCCCGGACATCCAACTTCAGGCGGTTGTGTTCAAAGGTGGCTGGACGGAAGGGCAATTCTTGCCCGCACATCAGGAAGGAGACCTTGTCCCAGAAGCCCCTTGTCGGACCGCCCCTCCCCTCCCACTGGCTAGACCATGTCACGTGATCAAGCTACGGTTGCGCAGTAGGCTGGGAAAGCGAGTGTCCGCCATGTTCTGCATCTGAAGAGATAAGACGAGTGTTCTCAGGTTGAAAGGGGTTGGGGCCGATATTGAGGGACTCTAGAAGCGGCTAGAGTGGCCAATATCACTTTTGGATAGAGTAAGAATCTATTTCTTGGTAACCCTACTTTGGGTGTTAGTTAAGTTCTATAAGCTATCCTTAAAGAACAACGAAATGAGTAGAAAGCTGAAATGTGTCCCTCTGGTCCCTTCCTCCACGCTCCTTCACTTGGTCATTTCTGTGCTGTCAAAGTGGAGAAAAATACACGAGATCACGGTTTTCTGTGGCTCAGACTCTTTCCTTGCTTTTTGCTTTGGGCTCTGCCAGCGCATTGCTTCCTCAGATTTTTTTCCTTATGGGAATCTCTCGAAATCTAACTGCTGTCATATTTATTGACCCTGCTTTTATTGTGGCATCCCAGCTCCCTGAAATAATAAGCTGGTAGGAACAAACAGGTCATAATGTCTACCAAATAATTTGGATTAGATTTATGTGGACAATTTGTATGTTTGTATCTTTTTAGGTTGATCTGTAGGGATGCTATAAATTTAACTATGTTATGTATCTTTCCTTTCCTTTTCCTTCTTTATCTTCAGACTTTTCAAAGACCCCTGATTTAGAATGGGTGGTAAGTAGGTATGTGATGTGGGAGTCCTTAGCTCTAATTTACATACCAACCTTCATTTCTTTAGTGTATTAATGTTTAGTGTTTGTGAAGCAGTTATAAGAGTTTGAAAGAAAATATAAATGGTGTGGAAATAAAAGATCAAGACCTTGGAGCATGTGTGTGTCACTGTCCCCTTGACTTTCTAACCAGGCTGTCCCAAAGTTTTAGAGACTTTTCAAGGATCCATCTCTCTTGGGGTCTGAGGACCTGTGAATCATAATAGGCTTCCCTTTTCTGATTATATTTGGCCTATAATTCTCCAACCCCAGCTCCCCCAAATTTTTAGATAAGACACTATGTGTAAGGATGCTCTTTTTGAATAATGAGCATAGATCTGATTGTTGCATTTTCTAGATGAGAGATTAATGCAGATGGTGTTTACTTGAACATTTTGGACTTATTTCCCCCGATACTGAATTTGTAAAATTATCACCTTTAAAACTAAGCTCAGACTTAATGCCTTCATTTCCTTTTTGCACCACTCTCTGGGTCTGTTTGCCTCCAGTGTGGAAATTACAAAGAATCACAAGCCTTGGGAGATTTAAAACTGGAATCTCATTGGTTTAAAATTTGCAAAATACATTGGTTCAGAGAAAAAAAAAAAAAACGGGCCACTCAACTACTCAAATAACACCATTTTTTGCATGATATGTTCCCTTAAAGGTCACATTATGTGACAAGAACATGGGGTCTGTTAGGGAATAGAAAATAGAAGACTGAACAAAATTTGTAAACGTTTGAATAGAATGACAGTGGCCTTACCCCCAACTCCATATGCTTTCCTACATGCCACGTGGATCTAGCTCATGTGTAGTATATAACCGACTATCATTTTATGGTCTGTGAAAGTCCATACCTTTTGTTTTTGGAGCATGTGAGTCTTTTACAAATGTCTCTAGCATATGGCAGGGCAACGGAATATACAAACTGACAGGTAATCTGACTTTTTTGCTAAGCCACACCAGACAGATGCTGTTTGGTCCCTAAACTATTCGATTTCTTCCTTGTGCTTTCATTTCCCTCTAAGAAGCAGAAGAAACTTAACTACTTATTTCTCAGTGCCTGAAAGGACAAAATCCTTTGTGTATTTTTTTTTTCTTTTGCCTTGGTAGGCCCTTCAGGTCCAATTTTCCTCTAAGATGATACCCAAAATAACGATAGCAGGGACTTGAGATGTTTGCTTACTTTGAGTACTGAACGAACGGTGAGAAGTATTCCAAAAACAATCGCAGATTTTGGTTGGTGAGAACACTCCTTATCTATTCAGAAGGGCATTCCATTAGTACCTACTTTGAGAAATGCGGCAGGGCTGAGTGACCTTGTACGTTTGGATCCATTCTGAAGACCAGTGGTAGAAATCACTGCCCTTGATTTTACCAAGCTTCCGTAGATGTTAGCCTGTAACAGAGAAACGTGAAGGGGAGGAAAACCGCAAGCCTGCACGCAAGACAGGTAGACCATCACATTTTCTTTTTTTACACTCTAGAAGTTCACCTGGACCCCCATCGAACATGGTGTCCTGTCGCAGACTGTCAGACAGTGTGCCCTGTTGCATCAAGTGACCCGGGACAGCCCGTACTGGTGGAGTGTCCTTCTTGTCACCTGAAATTCTGCTCATGTTGCAAGGATGCTTGGCACGCAGAAGTCTCCTGTAGAGATAGTCAGCCTGTTGTCCTGCCGACAGAGCACGGGTAAGAAGGGAAATGGCCTTGGGGATTATTCACTGGTTTTCTCAGAAACCTCAAATATGTCTCTTGGCAAAGGAGTTATCTGGTGATGGAATGTAGAGATCAGTCACTTCCCTGTGGAGCTTCCCTGAGAAGCGTCTCAGAATTGGTAAGTTGTTAACAAACAATAACGAAAGAAGAATTTCTAAAGGCAATTTAGGTATTTACCCCTGGAGGATCTTCCAGCCACTGCTGAAATTAGAGCTTGTATAAATTTTGATTTCTCTTTAGGCAGGGAGGCACAGGGACCACTGGTTTTCAGTAGGAAGTCACGGCTTGTCCACAGCCATTTGCCAAGGAGTGCTAGCCACCTGCTAGGGACAGACCTATTCTTCTTGCTTGCAAAGTGGTGCTGGGATTATTTTCTTACCTGATTATGCTGCCAGCTTGTGAGGTGTGCCAGTCACGTCAAAGAGAGCACAGCAGTAGAAACAGCAGCCCTGCAGGGCAGTGCAGTACTCAATTCCTAGGTCCAAGAGGAAGAGAACTCATCTTTCGATACTTTATGCTCTGAAAAGATGGCACCAAGGTTCAGATTTTGTTACAACGAGCAGCAATTAAATCTGTACCTTTCAGTACTTTTTACAGCAGCAGAAGGGCCCAGAGTGAGAGACCTTTGTGCTTGATCCCTTGCTCTGCTCAAGGCTATGGCTGTTCTGCATCAGTGAGAACAGACGTACCAGTGTTAGGAGTCCAGTTGGCTTACTCACCCCGCACCCTCCGAGTGTGTAGAACGATTCTTCAGGAATAGCAACACTACCTGGCTATGATGCTGGGCTGGAATCTTAGACCAAACAAATCAAGAGGAAAAATAGATCTTCATGCACTTGGCAGGCGTGGACCTTCCTAGCCAGTACCTTCTGCATTTTCACTGCCATGGCAGTAAGGTCTGTGGGTGTCACAGGACAGTGCAAAGATCCCAGAGGAGAGAGGGGTTGAGATCTGACGTTGTCACTTGGTGCCTGTGTGACCTCATGTCGGTCACTCAGCCTCTATGAGTCTGTTTCTCTATTTGCAAAAAAAAGGGGGAGGGTAGGAATTAAAATAGTAACTGTCCCAGTGCTCTATAAGGTTATGGTGAGCACCAGCTCCGATCCTGGATCTAACAACACTGTGTGAACTTGATGTCTCCATGTGCTGGGTGCTGGTTTTAATGAACAGTGGCTGAAGTACAGCGCCGGGCTGAGGCTTCCCTAACCCTCCCACCTCAATTAGCTCCACTTATTTTCTGTGCCCCTTAAGGCTGTGAGCCTGTGTTGACCTATTCATCCATGTGGAGCAGGTCTCTTGAATGATATTGGGCATTTATTTTATTTTATTATTTTTTAAAGATTTTATTTTTTTAAAATAATCTCTTCACCCCATGTGGGGCTCGAATTTACAACCCCAAGGTTAAGAGTTGCATGTTGTACCGACTAAGCCAGCCAGGCACCCCAGGTGTTTCTTTAAAGTATTGGTCACTGACTCCCTCAACCTCTGCCATTTGTTTGTCTGAACAGATCACTAGATAAGAGGTTTACCTGTGCCGTCTCAGATCCTGAGCTTGTGTTTCTCTTGTATAGCGGGCTGCTTGCATTTCTTATTTAGACAGTGTGTGCTCGGGGAATGAAATACTCCAAGTAACGAGTTAAGCCAGGTGTGGAAAATACAATTATATAATTCACTTCAAGCCAAAGATAAATAAAGGTTCTCTTCTGTTTGGAGTTATCTGAATGACTAATAATCTGTGTCTCTCCAATTTTTACCCCCACCCTCTTCCATGGAAGTGAATTCAGCACGGATAAGGAAGGGTTCCCTACCTACCCATCAGGAGCCCCAGGAATTCAGTTGGTGACCATAAAGTGGAATCTAGAAAGGTGTTAGTTAACTATTTAATTCTTTACACTCAGCTCACTCTTCCCGGCTCTGGTAGTCTACCCCCTTATGGTTCTAGCTTTTAAGAAACTCAGGCAGCATTCTTGATCCACACCCTATAATTTCTCATCCATTTTGTTTCTAGGGCCCTCTTTGGGACAGACACAGAAGCCCCCATTAAGCAATGCCCTGTTTGTCGGGTTTATATCGAACGCAACGAAGGCTGTGCTCAGATGATGTGCAAGAATTGCAAGCACACGTTTTGCTGGTACTGTCTCCAGAACCTGGATGTAAGTTCCACTCGGAAGTCTTCTCACGTGGTCTTTCTGTATCGGTGTGACCACCGGGACCCTACGGCCTTTCCTTTGGAAACAATGAGCCTCTGTTTGTCCTGTAAAAGACATTTACTGTTCTTAGTGATACTCTCCACTTCAGATGTCTATAAAATCTCTGATTACCTTCACTGTGTCACCTCAACCTTAAAGGCAAGCAAGCTTTTTTTTGTTTTGTTTTGTTTTAGGGACATTTCCTGTTTTGGGAGCACCGTCTCCTCTTGTTCCATAAAGAATCATCCGTGTGTTCATTTTACATTGCTGTTGTAACAAATCACCACGAACACAGCGGCTTAACCAACACAGATTTATTATCTTTACTTCTAGACATCTGACATGGGTCTCACTGGATTAAAATCACAGGGTCTTTAGGGCTGCATTCCTTTCTGGATTCGAGGGAAGAATCCATTTCTTTGCTTTTCCACTGTCTAGAGCCTGCCTGCATTCGTTGGCCTGTGGCCCCTTTCCCCGTCTTCAAAGCCAGCCACATCCCATCTGTCCGACCCTTCTTCCAATTCACGGCTCCCTCTGACCACAGCTGGGGAAGCTTCTCTGCCCTTCCAGGCCCTGTGATTAGGTTGGCCACATCTGGGTGATGCAGACTACACTCCCCCACGAAGGTCGTAATGTAATCACATCCGTACAGTCCCTTTTGCCATGTAAGGGCAACATATTCTCAAATTCCGCGGATTAGGCCACGGGCATCTGTAGGGGAGCCGCCATTCTGCCTACTGTACTTTGGTTGTCTTCTTCTTTCTGAATTTAAAGAAAAAGGCCCCTCAAACCCATGAGATGTCTTCAATAACCACTTCATTCACTGCCATGACAGCAGTTTTGCTATTGTTTTGTTAGGGTTGCCTTCCCAGACACAGGGGTCTGCCCCCCTCACTCTGTTCCCTCACCATTCATGAAGCACGTCTTGCCCAATTCGAGTACAGCTCATTCAGTCCCGGGCCAAGGCTCATGGTAACCCCAGAGGTAGAAGGTGATGTGAAGGCTGGATGAGCAGATCTTGCTTCAGTTCTAGCGTTTACTCTAGCACATGTGAGCTACCCCAGATAGGAAGAGATATTCACTGTTTTGGCAATCCAGACGAAGAAGATGCGTCCATATCCGTGTGAGCCTCCGTCATGTTGGTGGGGGGGCAGGGACCTTCTTTTCTCAACTTTTCATTTCGTTGGCTTAGTTTGCTTCAATTCGATCAGCAGTTAGTGTGGGGCTTTAGTGTCACACACACCCAGCGAGTCCGTGTGCAGTGAATACGGGATGCGTTCCGCCCCCCACATGCCTGGGTTTTAACTGAAAACTAGATAGGTTGTTTCAGACGACATCTGTAAGAATTTTAATCAGCCCCGATCTCAGTGTTTCAAGCAGAGGTATAAATTGGGGAAAAGAAAATTGACATTTTAGACTTCAGAAGCTCAGTAGCTCAGGTTGAAAGAAATGTTTCCACTTAAAAAAAAATTCTATCATAACCCCCCGAATTACAATTAAGGGTGATATTTGAGAGCTGTCGTGATTCCAAACGTGAGATGTTCTGAGTGAGGTTCTCACTGACTGCACAGCCCTCATGTTTTACAGAGGGAAGAAATCTTCTCTGTTTTCCTTCAGGTTTAACCAGAATATTAATTGGGTTCATAGCCACAAGGAGGCTGAGCCCATGAGGTTCTTTTTAAGCGGCAAGAATGTAAGGGAATAAATATGTGTGCCAGATCTGTCCATCCTTTGGCTGGAATATGTCTGAGGTATGGCGCTGCAAAGAACACACTGTTCTGTTACTTGGACTGTTCTGACGCTCGAGATGAAATGGTACAGATGTTAAAAGGCTGGATACACAGGCTTCAAATACTGAAGCATCTTTTTCTGGTCATTGTTTCTTGAGATCCCATTTTCTCGGGTTTAGCCAGGGGCATTGGCCTGTTGGTAATGATGTTTTCCCCTCGACAAGTGTTCTGTGTCAGATGGTGGTGGTGATCTTTGTTTGTGGGAAAGTTTCAGAGCAGTGGGTCTGGGAGCAGGATGGTTGTCCGAGAGCCAAGCGTGAGACAGACAGCCACCCAGCGTGGTTTTGAGCTTTACTGGGGTGTTGCGTTTGCTCCTGCCTTCGTCCCCATCCCTGCTGTCTTCAGAGGATGAGGTGTTCTTCATCTTGTGCTGTGGGTACCTCAGAGACCTGTCCCCTTCTGTTACCTCTTCTCTCTCTTGTGACTTCAACTTCCACTAACATCACATATGCAGCTGTGTCCCCTTTGAAAACGAATCACACTTTTCTCAAACCTATGTGTCTCCCATACTCCCGTTCTTCCCCAGCCTCCTCTTTGAACCAGGCCTCAAAACAACATAGTCACCTCTTGTTGTTGATGCTGACTTACCTCCGGGCATTGAAGTACACTCAGCTTGCCACATTGTCACTCCCCAGCTGTATTTTTCTAAGGCCTTGAGTGAAATGCAAGGGATATTTCAGTCCTCATCCTACCTAAACTGTCTGTTTCAGTGATGACACCTCTTCTGGCTTCCCTTCTGCATTTCTGGCCACTTCTCCGTTTCCTTCCCAGGCTCCCCTTGACCCATTCTTTGTGACCCAAATGTTTGTGACCAACATCCTCTTTGCTCTCCAGTCTACACTCTCTCCCGGGTGATCTCATCTACTTCTGTGTTGTTTCCTGCCCCTCCCCCCAACATCTGCCAGTACCTAAGGCCTTCCCCCAAAGTTCAGATCTGTGGAATCAGCTGCCTTTTGGACAGTACCACTTGGATGGCTCAAGTGTCTCTCAAGTTCAGCCTGTCCAAACCGTAGCCGTCATTGTCCCAACAAAGTTCATCTCTCCGTTGTCATTTCTGTTGGCCAGGCTCCTGCTTCTCCCCAGTGCCTTTCCCCTCACCTGTGATTTCTTCTTCTTCCCCCACCTGGTTAGTTACCTTCTCAGTATCTCATGCCTGCATTTCCCACCTCAGCTGCTGGCATTTTTCCTCGCCTGCTCTACTGTGGCCGCCTTCCAGCCGAGGAAGACTGTCCTTCGTTCCATATCGCATCTGCTCTAGAGCTGCCTTTCAAAGAGGATTGGTCAGGACACGGAGCCTTTCAAGACTCAGTCAAGAGTCTCGTTGATTACAATCTCTTTTCACTCAGTGCTTTGTAAAAGTACCGAGATACATCGTAAAGATCGCGGCCTCGGGATTCGGGGAGGCTGTTCATCAGTATCGCCCGAAAGAGCGTTTGCTTCCACCAAGCAAAATATGGTTTGTGTTTGTTAGATCCAGTGTGGTTAGTATTTGTCTCTCAATTCAAAACAGCGTGTTTGTTGAGACCTCTCTCCTTGTTTTTCAGAATGACATTTTCCTCAGGCATTATGACAAAGGGCCGTGTAGGAATAAGCTTGGCCACTCGAGAGCCTCAGTGATGTGGAACCGAACACAGGTACCTTGACCCTTAAGGAAGCACGAGATACACTGGACTTGGGAGGGCTTAGAAAGCCCACCTGTTCTTCCTCCCCACCCTGTTGTCTGCTTACGCATCCATCCCTGGAGGTTCTGGGGAGCCCCTGAGCAGGGCCAGGGAAAGGGAATGCAGCAAGTGCCTGAAGTTCATGAGCATGACCCCCTTGCGGATAAGTGGAGGGGCAGGGCCCGGAGCAGCTGGGTAATTAACAGCCACCTGCAGAACGAAGGCAGGTCTTCTTTCCTCCCGAAAAAATGGTAGAACGACTTTCCTAAAACCCTCTAAGTCCTACTTTCTATAAAAGGCAGTGCTCTAAAATCCCATGAGCCGCTGCTGGGGCTTAAATCCCTCTGTACCTGCCATTGTGTTTCCGTGGCAGGTTCAAAGGAAGTCCTGGTTTATTTTTAATAGCGTTTCATATTCATTAAAGGCTGTGTTCCTTTTAAAGGTGCCAGTGTTAATAGCCTAGCAATCATTGTTAATATCCCTATGAGACTATTAGGAAACTCAGGGAGAGAGCCAGAGCGCCAAAAGCAACAGTTTGGGGTCACACAGAGCTTTTGCTCGAGTTAATGTCTGTTTTGTTCCCTCCCCTCCGATCTAGTTCTTGCCATCTCCCTGGTTAGTATCCAGTTCAGATCATGCAGGCCCTGGGCTACAAGGTCCTATGATTGGTAACTGTTTTGCGTGCCTGAGGTGGTGTCTTAGTTCAGGCTCTAGAATAAATTATCATAAACTGGGTGGCTGAAAAAAAATAGAAACGTATTTCTCCCTGTTCTGGAGACTCGAGGTGCCTTTATGGTTGGGTTCTGGTGAGGACCCTCTCTCTTCCTGGTCTGTAGATGGTCTTCCTCTCACTGTGTCCTCACATGGCAGAGAGTGGCGAGAATGGAAGCAAGCTCTCTAATATCTTTTTTTTAGGGCACTAATCTCACCGTGAGGGCTCCACCCTTGTGTCCTAGTTACCTCCCAACCACCCTCCTTTCTGGATTCCATTGTATTGGAGATTAGGGTTTCAACATATGAATTCTGGGGCTGAGGGGGAAACACACATTCGGTCTTTAGCAGATGGTACAGTAGACATACAGGAAGATTTAACTGCTGAAGTAGCCTTTTCTTCCACATTTCCAGGTGGTGGGGATTCTGGTGGGATTGGGCATCATCGCCTTGGTGACTTCACCCCTGCTGCTCCTGGCCTCCCCCTGCATCATCTGTTGTGTCTGCAAGTCCTGTCGGGGCAAGAAGAAAAAGCACAGCCCATCCACAACCTAGAGGTCTCTGCTCACGTCCACGTGCCACAGATGTCTGGGGTTCTAATGAGAAGCACAGTGAGAAAGCCCCACTTAGTGCACCTGCCTCCTCCTTGCCAACCTTTGAAAGTGCCTGTGTCCAGACTTTGAACTTGCCTTTGGCACCAAGGCCCAGCCCTGATGCACGTGTTCCCGTGTGAAGAGAACCGGGCTGTGCGGTCTAGGCTGTGTCTGTGGAGCATGTCGGGAAGCTTTGGGGTTGCTGAGAAGGAATGGGTTGCTAACCCATCATCATTTTACCCCCCCGGAGGATCCCACCGGACTGTTTAACTGATGGCCAGATTCAAGGAGCCCGAGTGAACCTGTAGTGTAATAAATGTGTTGTCGCGGTTGGCCACACACATCACAACTGAGCACCAGCGTCCGTTCTGTGTCGATTTGACCACCAATAGATACGTGGGAGAGACCCCCCTGGGGGAGGGAAAGAATAACACCGTTTAAGAGGAGATTGTTGTAAGAGCTGCAAAGCAGGCTGCTTAGCTCAGGAGTGGGTACTTGGCTTCGGCCTCTGCCAGCCACCGGGTGTGCTGTTGCCGGCATTCCCACGGTGACTTGGCAGAAACACAATGGGTTTCTCCTTGTGTGATCTCAGCTTCCAGCACAAAACTGCTGTGCAGAGGGAGGTGTCTTTTCCCAGTGCGAGGGCTACAGCCTGTAAAACAATGTGGTCTGATGGAGCGGCTCTCCCTGGGCAAGTGCAGCTTGGCGAAGGTGATAGACTCTCCTCCAGCCAGTAGCTGTGGTCTGCAGGATTGTCTGATGTGAAATACGGGTCAAGGGGCAGAGGTTCAAATCCTTCACCGTAGATAACAGAGACCTTTCCTGAGCCCTGCGTTCTTGCGCCCAGCACATTTAGGACTGGACCTGAAAGTCCATAGCAAGAGTGACTATCCAAGTCCCATGTGTACATCTAGAAATCCATATAATTTGCCACCTACCTAGACCCTCCGTCCACTGGGCACGTGCGAGTATTTCCCGTGGTACACACAAAACAAATGTTTCCTCAAAGCCATTTTGTCTTTCCTTCTGGGACTAATACACTTTATTAGAAATCAACCTAATGATTTTTTTTTTTTTTTGCATATTACATGTGTAAATTTTGGTTGCAAGTTCCTAACTTAACAAAAGGTATAGACTCATAAACCCAACTCTTTTAAAACAACCCTAGCACGGTGTCCTGTCATGTCAGTGTGTAAAAACACTGATAATCAAGCTAGTTACCTATTTTCAAACGCAGTGCAAGCAGCTCTCAACAAAGTTTAATATTGCTCTTGGAAGCCTCTGTTAGGGCGAGCCAGATACTTCCTGTGTGTACAAGGCACTGATCAAACAACAAAAAATGTAAGAAAGAAACTGTAACTGCTTTATGTATCATAAATAGTTTAGGTTGGTATAGCCCCATTGCGACTTAGTTTTCCCGTCATCCGTTAGTCAGATTTTTGAATTCACGGGTTTTGAAAAGACAATAACTTTTTCTCCAATGACAAGATGTCATAATTGCCATTAGCAACGTAGTCTGGTGCTTCGTGGGAACATGTAAAGTGCTCCTAGAGAGCTGTCCTTGGAACGAGGGACAGTGCGTTGGGACTGTCTGGACCTATGATGTTTTCCCGAGGTAACTGGGTAACTAGGTTGTTAAATTGCTGCTATCCTGGACCTATTATTAAGGAACGATGCTTTGCCTGTGTAATGGAATGTGTCCTAAGTGGGGATGTGTATATTTAAGGAACTTTGGTTCCCACATACATGTTGATACCTGATATATGTATAGTTCATCCCTACATCGTGTACACTTTTATTTACCATTTGTACAGAACATAGATGTGGACTCTCGGAAAACTTTCGAATGGCAACCAACCCAAAGCATTTTTAATCATTTTTATTTGGAAACTTCTCAATGTTAAGCGTCTTTCTTTTCCTTTGAAACTCTGAACATGGCAGAACAAGAATACTCTCTTCGATCAATGTATTCCCTATTAGTATAAATAGAAGTGTACATATATTTGAGTGATTTGCTTTGTCTTAACACTGCCTCATTGTAGCACAGGGCATTTATAACTGCTCAGGGGATCATGGGAACTCAGCTGAAAATGAATTTTTGTATCAAGAGTGTCAGGAGTGGCAGTTTACCCTGGCATGAGCGAACTCTCAAAGCTTCTATTCCGCAAAGAATCTCTAAAACAGGGGCTGATTTCAAGGAACCTAAAATCCTGTGTTATCAGAGGCGGAACTCCTGAATTTGGAGTTAAAGGTAGGAGAGAACATCCATACTGTTGCCTTGGCAAAATTGAAGGAACTTGTTTTCTCACAGAGATACTGTAACAGAAGCAGCTCCTTTTTTTTTTTTTTTTTTAATACAAGATAGGGTGTGGGGGGTTGCTTTTTTGAAACAGATTTCAAACAACTGGATTTAAGTTTTTAAATGTTGAAAAGTGCCTGGAAAGTAGTGACTTCTTCCTTAAATAGCTACACGAATAGGCCTGTGTAAGACTGTCAGAATCAACAGGAATAGGTTGGTAGGTTAAACCCAGATACATCGCCGGTGCCTCAAAGGGTGAGTAGCAAGCCAGTCTAGAAACTTTGTTTACAAAGGAGGGAACTGACAACTTAGATAAAGAGACTGATGTTTTTGTTTGGCATAACTGGCCAGTGAGACAGTTTAACCTGTCTCCTTCCTCTGTCCATCAGCTCTGTCTTCCAGGGATTCTCTTTCCAGACTAGGAAGAGATATGGGTCTACGTGACAATGTTTGGATGTTGTGGCAAAAATTCTTGTGTTTGGAGTAGTGTAGTTTTTTTGAAATAGGATCAAAACTCCTTCACCCAGTTGTAATCTGGATGTAATAACTCCCCATCCGGAAACGCTAGCAGGTGTAAGGGGACGACAACTAGCTGTTGCCCCTTCTGGGAAGTTTTTTCTTATCCGGTAGGGAGGTGAGGGGGAAAGCCACAGGGAAGCAAATTTTAGAATCATAGGCATTCTGTTTGTTCACACAATGGGTGTTAGCTCTAGACTTGAAATCTCTATATAGATAAAGAGGCCTTTGAAAAATAATTCACAGTGTGAATTTTCTTGTAGCCTGCATCATGAAAATTTTGCCTATCCAGATTTGCAAAACGTACATGTTTATTTGAATGTAAATCACTGTTTCTTGAAACCCCAAATTGTCTCTTAAAACTTATTCAAAATCTAAATGCGTCTTATTTTACCCTTCTCTACACAGTGCTTGACTTTTGTGTTCGTGAATGGATGCCTTTATGTATATAGACCCATGTATATATGTGCAGCTCTGAAGATAATTTCATAATGCCTTAGATGAATGACATTTTATAAAGCTGTCAAGTTGATACCTATAGACTATTACATCTCATGTTGATTCACGATCCAGAAAGTTTTGTTATGTATTTAAGAAATTGCTGTTGTATTATATTTTTCCGATTATTTGAGAGGAAAATAGCTGTTTCAGTCTCTGTTGCCCCAATAAACGTGGAGCAAGAAAGCAAGTGGTTAACCTTTGTTGTACCGCACGTTTCTAGACACGTTTGATTTTATCCTCCAGGAACCACCAAGCACTATTAAATCCTAGGTTCTGAATTTACAAAAACCACCCAAATCTGTTACACCATTCATGGAAATAAGTCTTGCTACCTTGTTTCTTAAAAGAAATGAGAAGTATAATGCCTTCACTCGTTGCTGACATTTTTGTTGTATGTGCGATATCCCACACCGTCACTGCATGGGCATTGGTAATTATCCAGAGAAACAACCAATAATTTAGGGCTTTGATCATTCTAATGAATGCTGCCAGGGATCAAAGTTCTATAAAATGATGGTTGGACTGCCTGCTCTCTGTGGTCCGCTCTCACCTTTCACAAGTCTGTTGGAGGAATGTATCTCCTCGTTATGAATTTTAAAGGATTTACATTAGCGTTAAGTTAAGGTCATTTCCATTTGATTAGTATTCAAGGCAGGACTCACCAAAGGTTGAGTGCTGAAAGTTGGTTAACAACTAGAACTTGTGTTTATGCAAAACCGAAAGCTCACATTCCTGTCTCCTGGGGTTGATGCCTTTCTATTGAACATTGGTTCAATGGTTGTGATTGGATACCTGAGTATAAAGACTTAGGACTGACTTACAATTCAAATTTCACTTTGTAATCATTCACTTTTGAGGAAATCAGTAAGATCATATTAAAAGATTTTTGGGTTATGGTTTCTTCGTTTCCTTAATCATTTCCTAAAATGTCGACATTACTTCATTTTTAAAGTGTCACTGTTTGCTAAACTTGAATTTGTATCCCCAAAGAATTATTGAATGAACCACTTTATACAGCGGTGATTTTAATCAGTGCCCAACCAGCAAACTCATTGCCATGTAAATTATAAGCCTAGTGAATCTGAAGGAGAATTACAATTAGGTTTTTCTGTAATTCAATTATTTTCATTTGTAAGATAATAAATTTATTTTTTTAGACCCCAAAGATGGCATCCAACTCTACATTATGAGCAAGAAATGAATTTCTTCAAATAATTCAATAGCAATTATAATACGATATAGATAGATACATTTTTTACATGTTCCTTAAAGGACTTTTGAAAACAATCCTATGAGATAAATGGAGTAGATATTAGATCCATTTCATCAAGGAAGCAGT